ATCTAGACAGTATACTGATCTGTAGACTGTAGACGAAGCTACCATTGCTCTACGGTTAGCGTAACATCTTGATAGTAGGCTGGTCTGTAGACTGTAGTCGAATCTACCATTGCTGTACTGGTTAGCGCCTCATCTAGACAGTAGACTCTCATCTAGACAGTAGACTCTCATCTAGACAGTAGACTGGTCTGTAGAATGTAGACGAAGCTACCAGTCCTTTACTGGTTAGCGTCACATCTATACAGTACACTGATCTTGATACTGTAGACGAAGCTACAATTGCTGTACGGTTAGCCTCACATCTAGACAGTAGACTGGTCTGTAGACTGTAGACGAAGCGAAGCTACCATTGCTGTACGGTTAGCGTCTCATCTAGACTGTAGACGAAGCTACCATTGCTGTACGGTTAGCGTAACATCTTGATAGTAGACTGGTCTGTAGACTGTAGTCGAAGCTACCATTGCTGTACTGGTTAGCGTCTCATCTAGACAGTATACTGATATGTAGACTGTAGACGAAGCTCCCATTCCTTTACTGGTTAGCGTCACATCTAGACAGTAGACTGATCTGTAGAAAGTAGACGAAGCTACCATTGCTGTACGGGTAGCGTCACATCTAGACAGTAGACTGATCTGTAGACTGTAGACGAAGCTACCAGTGCTGTACGGTTAGCGTCACATCTAGAGAGTAGACTGATCTGTAGAATGTAGACGAAGCTACCATTCCTTTACTGGTTAGCGTCTCATCTAGACAGTAGACTCTCATCTAGACAGTAGACTGGTCTGTAGATTGTAGACGAATCTACCATTGTTGTACGGTTAGCGTCACATCTAGACAGTTGACTGGTCTGTAGACTGTAGACGAAGCTACCATTGCTGAACGGTTAGCGTCACATCTAGACAGTAGACTGATATGTAGACTGTAGACGAAGCTACCATTCCTTTACTGGTTAGCGTCCCATCTAGACAGTAAAATGGTCTGTAGACTGTAGACGAAGCTACCATTGCTGAACGGTTAGCGTCACATCTAGACAGTAGAGTGATCTGTAGACTGTAGACGAAGCTACCAATGTTGTAGGTTAGTGGCACATCTAGAAAGTAGACTGGTCTGTAGAATGTAGACGAATCTACCATTGTTGTACGGTTAGCGTCACATCTAGACAGTAGAGTGATCTGTAGACTGTAGACGAAGCTACCATTGCTGTAAGGTTAGCGTCACATCTAGACAGTAGACTGATCTGTAGACTGTAGACGAAGCTCCCATTGCTGTACGGTTAGCGTCACATCTAGACAGTAGACTGATATGTAGACTGTAGACGAAGCTACCATTGCTGAACGGTTAGCGTCACATCTAGACAGTAGAGTGATCTGTAGACTGTAGACGAAGCTACCATTGCTGTACTGGTTAGCGTCTCATCTAGACTGTAGACGAAGCTACCATTGCTGTACGGTTAGCGTCACATCTAGACAGTAGACTGGCCTGTAGATTGTAGACGAAGCTTCCATTGCTGTACGGTTAGTGTCACATCTAGAGGGTAGACTGATCCTTAGACTGTAGACGAAGCTACCATTGCTGTACGGTTAGCGTCACATCTAGACAGTAGAGTGATCTGTAGACTGTAGACGAAGCTACCATAGCTGTACGGTTAGCGTCACATCTAGACAGTAGACTGATCTGTAGAATGTAGACGAAGCTTCCATTGCTGTAAGGTTAGCGTCACATCTAGACAGATATTAACTTTCATTCAGAAGTCGAATCCTGCTTGATGCTTTCAAATCTTATTATTGTAATTGTGATCTTTTGGATGAGACGCTAATTTGTGTCACGCTAGAATACAAGGTTCGCTCAAAATTACATGCCAATTACGGTTAGAACAGGCTACAATAATTGGCATTTCACAAAGTAATAAATCAATACTTCAAAAGTATTGACGACAAAATGTAATTTACAATTTTCCTAAAATCCCATGACTATTTTTTTACTCGGCTTTTACCCTCGTTTTCGTTGTATTATTTATGACGGTCATTTTTCAAAGTTTGAGCTCGACATTTGTCTCTATCAATAACAACGTTTTAGGAGCAGCTCCATTACTTGCGGTTTATGTACTGTCCCGACGACTGAGCTATACCGCGGGACAGCTGACAACTCCAGTGTAGCGTTAATACAAAACACAGCGGCCTACCATATAGGTATAAATGATGCATTAGCCAGGCGCAATATGTATAAATTATTGTCTGTTATTACGGGATCCGGCTGCAAACAACACAAAATAATGATGAATTGCCGTGTTGACACTGTGGTATACATCGCCAGTGTGGTTTGGTATACCGCTTATGTGGTTTGGTATTAAGACAATCTACGCAGAAAACTGATAAAAGAATCCATGCCTCTTATCCTTTATGTACGGTCATGTAATAATAGCGTCAGTCATTTGGTAGTAGAAGTTAATTCATTTTGTTTATTCATAGTATAACAAAGAATCCCGTATTACTGTTTAAGCCATTTCACCTTGCAGTCTCAGAATCAACCATTTTCAGTCTTATAATTTATCACAGATGAATTATTTAGTTATGAGATGTTATTTGGTTATGAGGTGTACGTTTGGTAAATATGCTGTAGCGTCAATGTGGGCTCGTGATCGGCTAAATAAAATATTGAACCTTTTATTTGTATATATTGTTAATCTCGCGTGGTTTGCTTCGGACTTATCTTAGGTACCTGTTTATTTGAAATTTAATTGTGAACAATTATTTTTGATTGTTTCTCTGATATTTGATATAATGCAATCATATTGTAAATAATAAAAACAAAACAAAACAAAAACAACTAACTACCATGTACACCATTTGTTCGACATCCATTACGTAATTATTAACATCAAAAACATTTCTCGGTAAGGAAATATAACATAAAAACTAACACGTACTCCATCTTTCTGTGACGATTCTAACACACAATCAATAACATCATTAACATGATTTACTGCATGCTTGTTCATTATAAGTAACATGAATAACAAACAAAGCAGTAATTCCACGGCACCTACTGTGTTGACCCTAATAGTGTTCTATGTTACAGCGTAGTGTACCTAAAGAGCCCGTGACGACATTAGCTCGGGGCATGTTTTACTAATGAGAGTCGGTAAGAGTTCCTAGAAACAACAGGTAGTGACAGTCAGTTGTATGCATGACCTACGTTAGGTAAGACGATGGATAATAACAAATTAGCATTCGGTTTTTACCCTGATACATCACCTATAAATGGAACGACGCAGTCAATAACACAGTTCACAGTGAACGCACATGCCGTGAGGAACGATATATATTCCGATGGTTGTACAAAAAGTGTCCTGTTTAGGGCAGCATGTTCGGGAGGAGCAACACGTACTTAATATGTACAGCTCCGTACTGGACGAGTCTGAGGAGTACATTAAGTGTGGTCTGTGTTGGGAGGTTCCTACCCAAACCGTCACTCTGAGCTGTTCCCACACGTTCTGTAAGTGGTGCCTCAAAAAAAGGTCAAAATCAGGACAGGAGGTGAACGGCAGAATTGCTTGTCCGGTTTGTGGGGTCAACGACACCATGACACACGGTCAGACAGAGGAAGTGTCCAGTAACAATGGAAATGACCGCAAGTGTGACCTGTGTGAGGAGAGTCGACCTGCCGAGGCCAGGTGTGTGGAATGTCGAGAGTTGATGTGTAACTTTTGCCATCAGTCACACCGGCGAAGCAAGGCCTCGAAGCACCATAGCATCACAATGTTGGGGGATATCCATACCGAGACGGGGGAAATTTCTGGGAGCAGGTGTTCCATCCACGACGAGGAACTTGCCTACTTCTGTCGTCCTTGTGACACGGCCGTCTGTAAAAAATGCCGTACAAGTGACCATAAAGGACACAGGTCAAGACCAGTTAAGGTCATTGTAGGGGACAAGCGAAGACAACTGGAGGAGAAAGTGGATACGGTACGGCATGGATATGTCCGTATGTTGGAGAAAAAGCTAGCAGAGATTCCAAAACAGATCAAAGCCATTAAAGAAAACGCAGAGAGCGTGGTCGTTGATATCATACAACGTTCTAAATGTATCAAAGACCAAATCGACGCCATCAAGTTAGAAATGATAAAGGATGTTCGTTCGAAAGAATCCTTGGGTCTAACCAGATTGGAACAATTCATGAGAGAATTGGAAAAAGAGTTATTGACGGTTGGCGAGAGCATCAGGAGGACAGAAAACGTTCTAAAACAAGGGACTGATGTTGAGGTAGTATCTATCTGTAAAGTATCACAAGAGACATTTGATAGTCTCGAAACAAGACGGCCATTACCCGAACTACAAAAGGTAGATGTGGCATTCGAATCGGGGGAACTTGTAAGGGACATGTTGATGAACGGTTTTGGACACTGTTCTACTAGGAACTCTGGATTCACGTGGTCTCGTTCTGTGTCCATGTGCCAAGGAGATCCACAAGATGTAAACATCAAACTTGTCTCAGAATTCCACTGCCCTTTAGTGGTAGATGAGGATGATAACGACGATGATTTTGTGAATGAGTCTGTCCATACTATGGCGGCCGTGGCAGGGGGACAGATATCTGTCTGTTGTGGCTGCGAATCAGACCGAGTCGTGTTTACGGACGGAACCGGACGTGTAATTAGTAGTTTACGAGTGGGTGTAATGATTGATGATCTTGTCAGCCGGAATGACCATTCTATCGTGATGTCGTGTTTCCGGGATCGTTCAATTAGAGCAATTGAGGAAAATGGCAATGTCCGAGAGCTCGTGTCCACTCAATATTATCCGCGTGGTCTTACTGTAGCTTCTGACGGAAGTCTGCTGGTGTGTCTAATGGACCAATATTCTACATCGGTCACTAAAACAAGTAGACGCATGGTGGCCAGACTAGACAGTCGGGGTCAACAAGTACAAGTGTATGAATACACAGACGAAAACAAACGCCTTTTCACGAGACCTTATCGTGTCCAGGAGAACATTAATGGAGACATATGTGTGACCGACAAGACATCTATGGGCTCGGGGCGGGTAGTGGTGCTAGACAGACTGGGAAATCTCAGGTTTGTCTACGACGGAAGATCGGTATCAGCTGGGGAAAGGCCATTCTCCCCGTGTGGCATCGTGTGTGATAGCTACGGCAGACTTTTGATTACCGATACTAACAACCACTGTATACATGTCGTGGACAAAAATGGTCAATTTGTCAGCTTCCTGCTGCGCAAGGAAGACGGTATCACGTGCCCCACGTCTCTGGCACTTGATGGTGAGGGACAGTTATGGGTGGGAAACGAAAACGGACAAATGAAGGTATATCAATACCTGTAGTCTGAATGTGCCCCGTGTAAAATCAGATTGTGTAATCAATGTTATCTTTAATGATCATTTTGTCAATGTAAATTGTAATAGTGGAAATTAACGCGGTGTGGAAATGCTCGCGGTTTTCACGTTGAGTAAATTAGCGCGAAAATATTCACACGCTAATAAAATACAGGCATATAGATTATATAGAATAGAGATATTGGAATATATAGATTAAAGAATCATTGCAAACACGAAAATTTCAACGCCGCCAGTAGTTTTAAGGGTTACAGCGCAAACATTGCCATTGTTACAGTAGTGACAAATAGCCTGATTGAAAGGAATAGTATATATTCCGGGTCAAAACATATTGATTATTTCATTTATTGAGTACTTTGAGTACTCTTGATTATTGAATTCCGCTGTGAATGCAATATCATTGACCATAATACAGTTAGTAAACTTGCATATCATTCAATGACCTAAATCATACATTGAATTATTTATCCCATGCATGACGCAATCGTGATTTTGTTATACATGAACGATACATGTTACTGTTGAAGTGGTTGATAAAATTAAAATATTTCCTGTTTATCCTCTCTATGTTTTTAATATATGACGTGTAAATGACACCTGGCACCTACGACAGTGTACGCGACACCTGGCCCCTAAGACAATGTACATGACACCTGGCGACTACGACAGTGTACATGACACCTGGCACCTACGACAGTGTACGCGACACCTGGCACCTACGACAGTGTATATGACACCTGGCGCCTACGACAGTTTACATGACCCCTGGCCCCTACGACAGTGTACATGACCCCTGGCACCTACGACAGTGTACGCTACACCTGGCACCTACGACAGTGTATATGACACCTCGCACCTACGACAGTGTACATGACGCCTGGCGACTACGACAGTGTACAGACAGTGTACATGACACCTGGCGACTACGACAGAGTACATGACACCTGCCCCCTACGACAGTGTACATGACCCCTGGCGCCTACGAAGGTGTACACGACACCTGGCCCCTACACAGTGTACATGACACCTGGCTCCTACGACAGTGTACATGACACCGGGCCCCTACGACAGTGTACACGACGCCTGTCACCTACGACAGTGTATATGACCCCTGGCACCTACGACAGTGTACATGACACCTGGCCCCTACGACAGTGTACACGACACCTGGCCCCTACGACAGTGTACACGACACCTGGCACCTACGACAGTGTACATGACACCTGGCATCTACGCCAGTGTACATGACACCTGGGCCCTACGACAGGGTACACGACACCTGGCACCTACGACAGCGTACATGACACCTGGCCCCTACACAGTGTACGTGACACCTGGCAACTACGACAGTGTACACTGTCGTAGATGCCAGGTGTCATGTACGCTGTCGTAGGTGCCAGGTGTCGTGTACACTGCCGTAGGGGCCAGGTGTCGTGTACACTGTCGTAGGGGCCAGGTGTCATGACACCTGGCCCCTACGACAGTGTACATGACACCTGGCCCCTACACAGTGTACATGACACCTGGCAACTACGACAGTGTACATGACACCTGGCATCTACGACAGTGTACATGACACCTGGCCCCTACGACAGTTTACATGACACCTGGCACCTACGACAGTGTACATGACACCTGGCCCCTACAACAGTGTACATGAAACCTGGCCCCTACGACAGTGTACATGACACCTGG